GCGCTGTGACGTATGCGGCCGACAAATTCGACCTTCGGAGGACCCGTCCTGCCGTTTTGGACACAGCCAATATTGCCTTAACGGACAATGATTTAAAAAATGTGAACCATTAAAAAGCTGATGTTAAATGCGACGTGTTTGCAAATTTGGGTGTACCTAACTTTTGTACTGATGCACCAAAGGAAAAATGTGCAACCAGTGCAAAAAGTTAGTCTAGAGCCCTGAAACATAAAAATCTTTCATAAGTTGTCCAGTGCGACAGGGCCTTAACATTAACTTCTGTTAAACACTTGAAAAATTATTTACTTTTTAACATATAAAATCCCACATTTAAAGCTAGAACACAACTTTTACAGAAAGGGATATAAAAATGTGTCTCATTAACCTGGAAGGAAGGGCTGCTTCATGGTTTCCATCAGGCTCTTCAGGTCATGTTCCACATAATTCATCACAATGTAGATCTTGTCCATATTACTTCCGACAACAATTTCCTGACAGAATTGTAAAGAAATAAAATAAAAATTAGACCGACCCAGGTAGGAAAAAGCAGTGTAAATACCAACACAAAAACATTTTCTCTCACCCTCACTGTGACGATGTTTGGATGCTGAGCTTTCAGAATTGTATTAATTTCTCTTAAAGATGTWATGGGAAAGCCTTCCTTCTCTTTCTCCATTTTTAGTCTTTTCAGAGCAACAATCTCATCTGCAGAAAGTGAGTCATATAAATTTTATTTATAAGCACGTCAGAAAACAAAAAAAATATTCAAGCGTTTTATTTGCACACCGGTCTTCTTGTCCTTAGCTCTGTACACCACGCCGTAAGTTCCCTCCTCTATTCGGTTCAGACATTGAAACTCTTCGACACTACGGCAACCCTGAACACAAAAGCATAATGTCACGCTCCTCAATAGCAGAAAATATTTAAATTTAAACATACAGTTTATGGTCTGACTGGACCACGTACAGAATATCTGAATTAACGCTCACCTGTAAGGCAGGCAGATATTTGGGCAGCTCCTTTTTCAGCTCCACAGGTGAAACCGGGGGGGACTCTGGGATGTAGTTCCCTTCTGGGGTGGGGGACCGTGAATGAGTTTGAGAGTGAGGGGTGGGATCATCCTCTCCACCTTCTTCCTCGTCCTCCTCGTCTTCCTCTTCTTCTTCCTCCTCCTCCTCCTCCTCATCCTCCATGTCCTCTCCACTTTCCTCTGAGTTGTGGTCAAAACGAGATTCTGGCACTGTGGAGAAAAGTCAGAAAACAGTTTCAGATGATTTAATGTTTTAAATAACATCCTAATATTATGATAGTATGTAAGATACACTTTCTTTTCAAGCTCTTATTCTGAAATCTGAAAGACATARTAGCACTGTGTTTTCTGGTTTTCAAATAAGGAGCAAGTTAATTTAAAAAATGCATAAAAAGCAGCAATATTTATAGTTTCTATGTCAGGAAAATAATCAATAGAATAGAATAGAATAGAGTAGAAACAGCCTTTATTGTCATGCGTGGGGAATAGCAGCAGCAGATGCATACAACAATCCACAGAAACAGTATATTGCTGTGTGACATTATCAACTGTAGCAATAATTGAATTAAAGATAGTAACAAAAAATAATCATAGATCAAAATAAAATTAAGAATAATCATTACTGTAACAGGCTATCAAGATGAAATTGGATAAAAATGAAAATAAAAGCCAGATACTGTGCAAATATGAAATGACAGGAAAAAAACAGTTATGACAGACTGATGATCCAAGGGGGTGTGCTAAATGAGTCTAAAGCAGGTGTGTGCAAATTGAGTCATTAAGTTAGTGTTCCAGTACTGAAAAAAMGATGTACAATTGCCACAGGTTATTATTTATGTAATGATTGAGAGGTAGAGTTGTTCGGCGTGCAAACACAAACATGGATGCTTATTGAGATTGTTGCGAGCAGTGATGGAGTCTAACAGCTGATGGGAGGAATGAGCTGCGGTAGCGCTTCTTTGTGCATTTAGGATGCAGCAGTCTGTCACTGAAGGACCTCTGCAGTTCAGCCACAGCTTCATGCATTGGGTGGGAGATGYTCTCTGACACTGATGTTATTTTTGCCAGAGTCCTTCTGTCTCCCACCACCTGCACTGTATTTTTATTTAATGCTATTTTTTGTTGTTTCGTTGACATAAATGGATTCATCCAGCAGTCCTTCATACATCTGTGGTTTATTCACCTGCAGGTATGTGGTTTCCATTTTCCCTCTCCTCTTCTTCCTCGGATTGCTCTTCCTCGCTCACGTCCTCTAAATGAGAAAACGATTTTGTGTTTACCAATTTCACACGACAATCAGAGATCAACAAATTTAAAAGTTTTACCTGCACTATGCTCAGAGTGCCCAGAACCTGAAACAGACTCTTCCTCTTCTTCCCCCTCAGCCTCACTCTGGCTGCTGGACTCTTCTCCTTCATCTTCATCATCCTCTTCTTCAGAGCCTGACCCTGATGCTGGACAAGAGAGAGATTTGAAAGTAGTATATTTAATAAAAAAAAGGAAAAATAAAAAGTTGTAATATATACATATATCAATCACAGATTACCTATAGAAGATTCAGCAGTGCTGGTCTTCCTTTCAGCATCACTTATATCTTGGAGGTCTGCAAGCAGGTCTTTTATATCTGGCCTATCCTCTTTAGATGCTTAGAAAAAAAAAAACAATAAAAGTAAGCAAACATAATATATCTGTATTATTCTTGTAAAGAACACAGATTTTATGATAAACTCACTTGCAGTTTTTCGTGTCTCGCTCTGCTCAGATCTGTCCCGGGGGTGATGAATGGGACTGCGACTGTGATGACTCTGTTTCTGCTTGTCATCATACTCGTCTGGTAGCATTCGATGGTGAGACGGCACTTTAATGAAAACAATTCTCTTAATAAAATCATAATTAATTGTTCAGCATGTTTATGATGTGGAAAAAAATACACTTATACAACAGATAGCAGAACYCTGATCATGTTTTGTACTTTATTGCAGAATATTTCCTTACATCTTATTGTGTTAACAAAATAGCTGCAGGTAAGGTTGAGTGTATTTAGTTAAGCTCGTAAGAATGTGGTACCATAAATTGTTCACGGTGAAGAAAATTAAATATTAAAATATTTTCCTCGTTGTCATTTTTGTTCTGTGTTAAAACAACTAATAAAAAAAAGTGTAAAGAAAAATTGCACGTTTTGTTGTAGTTACTAACTTTCTCGCCGAGTTCCTCTTTCTGCGCGTCGATCGTCAGACCTTCTCTCCCAGTCCTTGAAGTCCTGTTGCTCTTTTTGTTGTTCGCGAAGCTTTCGGTCTCGTTCCCGCTGGCGTTCCAGCTGCTCCAGCCGATCCCTTTTGTCAGGAAATAAAATCCCACTAAACATCTGTTCAGATGTCACCCTACCCCAGAATTTTGTGTAAATTTAGATGTTTTTTTTTATACACACTTATGGTAAAACTGAGGAAAATCTATGCTAGGTACACATTTCTAATAGGGTTTAACATGGKAAAAGATATATTCACATTTTCAAAAAAAAGCTGCAAAAACACAGGTGTTAAAATAAATAAAAGCCCCAACTAAGGCAAATGTCTAACCTAACATGAAATTACTACTTTATTAAAGTGATGCTCACCTCTCTCTGCGTGAATGAGCCCTGGCCTCTTCCCTTCGTTTCTGCCTTTCCCAGTTTCGCCGTGCGTTGTCTTCTTCCCATCTACGCTTCCTCCGATCGCTGTCCCGCTCTTTATCTTTGACTCGTGCATGCTTTCCCCCTAATCAATGGGAGTGACATGAAAAACAGTCTAAAACATGTTGCATTTGACCGTAGAATATGTTAGAGACTGTAATTAATAAGCATCATCTCACCGCCTTCGGTGGAATGACTGCGGCGACGTCTTTTGTCTTTTCTTTTCTCCTCTTTTCTGTGGTGAGATTTGTCCTTTCTTGCTACCTGCTGTGGAGGTTTAATGGCTAGTGATTCATCCTCCTCTCCTCTAACAAAGATATAAGAAAATCACTATTATACTTCACAAAGGCAAAACATCTCAGACTTTTYTTCTTTATACGTGAAGACAGTGAGATAAGTGAAATTACCTGTCTTCGGTTGAATCTTCCCTTGTGTATGGGGAATTACGAATTGTTATTTCCATTCTTTGATCGCGTAGTTCTCCTTCCTCCGGAGTGTCTCGTTTGGCTTCCCGATCATTCGACTGTGAAACAAGGCCCTGTGAGAACTGAGAAATAAAAGGAGCACAGACTATAATAACAACAAATTAGACTTTTGCTGAATCACAAAATATTATATTTGTAGGTTTTTTTTAATTAATAAGAATCATCATCGTCAGTGTAAAGTGTCGTTTTATATAGTTACTAGAGATAATATTCAATTCRTAATTAAAATTCACAAATTTGTTGCTAAACCTAACTCGATGTTGGAGTTTAATAGTAACTTACATTTTTCTGACGCTTATTATCGGTTTTCTCTTCTAACTCACGTCTGCGTTTTTTCTCCAACAGGATTTCATCAAGAGTTTTTACTTTCCAGGTATCTTTTTTGTCCCCCATCAGCATCCAATCTCCACCACCTGCTTTACATTTCAAACAAACACAAAGATTTACCACCATACACTCAATTTACTTCATATCAGTCACAGGAAACACAATAAATCAAATTAACTCTAGATGCCTTGCAGAAGTATGCATTTATAGTCTTAAACKCTTTAAGATATAAAAACAGCTGGATAAATGGTCACTGTCATTTTTATTTATTTTACGAGACAATTAAAAGCACTGAAGATGAAGTGCTTTACAGTCAAATCAGATACAACAAAATTAAAAATATCAATTTTACATAAATTGTAAAAATGCATAGATGCTTTAAAAAAAAAAAAAAAACCTCTCAACTATAATTTGCCAAAAACTTAAATGTTCTTGGCAGAGTATGTCAATGTTATATGTTATTATGTAAACAGAAATATTAGATATTAGCTAATTACCTTCTCACACACTTAGCACAAAACATTCTGTAGCTTAGTACAACTTGTAGTTTGAATAAGCGACAACAAACCTGCAACGTGAGGAGTAATCTCTCTACCCTTATCATAACAAATTTAATGTCCGGGCTCATTGAGACGGTCTCAACTTAAGCTAAATGTGCGTACACCTTACGTTTGATGTCGCTCACAGCTTTGTTGTAGAGCTAACTGCCAGGTATTTTATCAACCACTTTTACTTTATTTTAGCCTGCATATGTATGCCTAAAACGGGAAACATTAACACCTCTTCTGAACTCAATTCAGGTCGTAACGAAGGCTGCTGGGCTATCACGTTAGCTAGCAAATGTTAGCTAAACTAGCATCAATTGCTAAACAACTTCTACAGCTAATTATTAAATTCGGATATAAATATTTGATATTTTAATTTMTKCTATGAACTACGGTGTACATRATGGTGTCGGTGACTGTAAATTGAAGTATGAATAGAGAGCAAGATTAAATAATGCATTGGGAAGATGAACTGGTTAAACAAACCTGTACAATGCGCAGCAGTGCTATGGCTAACCGGAAGTCTCAAAGCATGCGCACAACTTTGAAAACGTCCGATGTGAAACAACTTTCGGGGCCCTAATCTAATCAGAAGGCACAAAAAATTGTCTCTTTTATTATTGTCATTTTMTTTAATTAAGGTCTATTCTCATAGATGCTCATCCCCCTGGCTGCATTGTGTGCTGCTTTGACCTCTTTTTAACATACAAAGTTTTGTAAAAACAATAATGTTGGAAAATAAAAAAATAGCAAAAAAGTCTAGATTTTCTATTTAACMAGTTCAAGCATTTAAAAATCAAATGAAATCTAATCAAATTAAACCTAATTAATTACCTGATTTCCCTCTAGGATCAATAAAGTATTTTTGAATTGAATTGAAACAATAAGTTGCTGTTGTTTTCTTCCATCGATCCTAGACAAAAGATGTCAATTTTTTTCACTATAGCAAAGTTAAGGAATAAATAAAAACATCAAAGAGGAAGTTTTAATTTGCTGTATTAAAATGCGAGGCCCTGGTTATAACATTGTAAAAGTTTTTAATGTGTTATTGCTTATCTGTACAAGATGTGATAAACTCAGGAATTTAACGCAACACAGARCTGAGCTGAATTTTATCACTGAGGAAAAAGTCATATACTGAAGTTAAAGGCTACATCTTGATACAAGTAGATTTATGACAGGATGGCTTTAGCAAACAAATGCACTTTGGCCCGAGTAGCACACGAAGCAGGAGGCTCTGCTTTCTTTGTCAGTTGTGCATTAGGAAGACATACTAAAACTGGTTGGACATAGACACAGGTGAGTGAGACAAACCTTTATATTATTATTATTATTATGTAAAATTTAGAAAAGTTTGCTTGAGATGACTCAATGATTTTATTTATTAGTGAGGACATATTTGTTTTCTTCTGCCAACAGAGCTGCAAAGATTTTAAAAGCAATAGAAGAGCAGTGGTTTACTTTAAATTAGCATAATTATGAGTTGTAAAAGTTTGTTTAATTGTATAAAATGTATGTAGAACAAGAATGGGCAATGACTTCAACTTTTACATGGCTACATAAAAAACAATAAGAACAAACTATCAAGAAGGGAACAATGTAATAAAAAAAACACTTCCCAACAAACTGGAAAATGCGTATCTACGTGTTGTAACCGAGTATAAAATGAACATTCCAGAAAGACATGAACTGACCAATAAAAAACGATTTTTTACAACATTAAATTACATAAATATTTTTAATCTGCAATAAAAGCTGATTTTAACTGTTTGGGTAGAATTTATCTGCAACGTAGCACTGTGTCCTAACTTTGACAGCTTTTATATTTTCTGTCTCCAGTGAAACACTGAGTTATTTCACCAGATAAAATAAGAACAAAACACCTCCGATGGAGTCCAACACTGCAGGCAACGTGCACTATGACCGATGGAATGAGGACAACATCAACATGAAYGTAGARGCTTCACAGTCTGCTGTCAGAAGGTTTGATGAACATTRAACATATAGATCTGAGGACACACTCAAACAGCTATTTGAAGATTTTGAATTGATAAAACCATGATAAAAAAAACAAGATGAGTTTCATTGATATTTCATCAGTCAGTAAAAACTTTTTGGTCAAAGCTATAATTTGGTGTAATTTATGTTTTATTCTTCATTTCACATTTAGGGTTTACAACAGACTGTGTACTGGCAGAMCTGGATTAGCAATGAAGGCAGCAGGAGCTCTAGTTTCACTGGCGTCCATCTACATTTTAGGATATGTGACAGGATACTACGTCCATCAGTGYGAAGTGTGAAGACCAGACAAGACCCTGACATTTTGTAAAATTACGTTTTAAGACCCTCTGTGCTGACAGAGACTGGTTTATTTAGACTGATAAATGAAGAAAATTACACAAAAACATTCTTTTTAAACTCACATGAGAAATKAACATTTGTGAGACTTTCCAAGTGAGCGTTCGTCATTTTGTAATTTTAATGCACGTAAAGTACAAAGTTAATTGATTTAGAGGCTTGTAATGTAATCTCTTTTTTTTTTTGCCAAATTCAGAGTTGTGCTTCATAATCATCGATTTCCATTCTGATAATACATAAAATGTGACAAAGAGTTGTTACATAGCAGCTTCTGGAATTAATGTTGATTCTTTCCTATTACATTAATAGGATTGCATTTCATGATGTGTGCTTATTTTACAAAATAAACAGTATTCTGCACCTCTTTTAAAGAAATGTTCCACTGAATGTCTGTTGACTCTTGTATTCTGCTCTGATAGAAACAAGAAGTATTATTTCCACAAGTTTGATGATATTGTTGCAGGTTGAAAATTAAGAAATTGGTTTGGGMATTTCATGCTAAAGCTGGGATGACACTGATCTCACATCAGAGCAAATGATTCTAATCATTTTTTCATGACATTAGTTTTTGTTTCTAWATTTGTGAAGTGTGACAAAATAAGTACTTTATATTCAGATTTATACTAAATACAACCAATAAAATGGGTGTAAATAATTGTTATATTTAAATTGTGACCAATATAAACTAAAATAAAAGTGACTGAAAAGGATTCTGTTCTGGTGCTTTTATTGAATTATTGATTTATTTAACATTAGCTGTTTTTTCCACTCAATTTTGCTCCAATTATAGCCACAAAAAGCTCCTGAGCTAAAATAATTTTTTTAATTAACCATGTTTGCCTGTGTCTCTCCAGAAAGTTTTGTACAGTTGCATAAAAGGCTGTGATAGGTTGGTTGTAAATTTGTATTGTCATCTTTGTTAAATCTTCTTCCATGTTAATCCATAGATGCATTTCATTCATATTTGTGAAGTGTGTTTGAAGTGCTTTTGGAGCTGAACTAGATCTTAGTTTATTATTATTGAATTTTTGACAATCTTAGATTTAAAAACGTATCAACTTCTTTATTAGAACATGCTTAACTGGTCACTAAACTATATTGTGAACAAATTAGGTTTTTTTTTCATAAATGGCAGAAATGGCTTCCTATGCACCTCTCAGCTTTTGCATCATATTTGCAGTATTTTTTTATTATTAAAGACTGATAGTTTTTTAATCATTGCATGTTTTAGGCTTAATATTTTAAAGGTCTACAATAAATCTGGCGCTGTCAAAGCAAGGTATGCAAAAGAAGGGTGATCTATACTTGTAAATAGCACGGACTATACTGTTCAGTGTTGCCAACTCCTGAGCAAGAAAAGTCCCTATTGGCTGTTCTAAAAGTCGCTAAAAGTCGCTAGATGGTGTCATCACTTAATTAGCGTAGTTGGATGTTTGCCAATAATTGTGGTCTGAGCTATAGGAGAGATGATGAAGAGAAAAAAGGTGAATAAAAACACTAAATATGTTTAGAACTGCAATTAAACTTAATGAAATAAAATAATTTTATGACTTCAATGCTTAGAGCCACATAAATTAAATTTGTGGGAAACTTAAATTTAATCTGCAGACAGTTCGATGTCACGAGACACAGGGAGGAAGAGGTGAAGAAGTGACTGATCTGGGAGTCAAACACAGCTGGGTCCAGAGATTTAGTTTGGAGAGACAGTACCAGAGACAAACATTACAATAAATATTACATCCCGCTTTGTAAAGCACAGAGAAGCAGTGACAGCTTTGCGCATGCGTGATTCATTTGCAGCAGTCTCTCCTCTCAGCTGACTTCAGCCGAGGCTGGGGGTAGGGTTGGGGGTGTTCTGTCAGATCAGCATACATGTCAGAGTAGCATACATGCCGCTAATGCGCATGCGCGGGCATGCGCATTCTGCAAAAGGTCCGCGACTTGCAGAGGTTGTTGTAAGGCTACATATGCATTCAATATTGTGTTTTTATGACATTAACACTGTGTTTCTGTAATGACTGTAATGATGTAAGATTTCTTTGCCACAATAAAGCTTTCCCAAAACACACCCAAGCCCCCACATGTCCATGCCCTCATTTTGTTGAAATCCTATGTAGACCTCTGGGGCCCTGTACCTTGGAGCCTGAAATAAATCCATGTCGGATAAATCAGATGTTGAATGACAAAGCCCAAAATCAATTAACTTGACTCTAAACGGCGTGGACTGGTGGTTTACTAACAATATGTTGTCAGTTTTAACGTCAGTATGAGTCATTTCAATTTGACCTAATGCAGTCAGAGAAAGGAGGACTTGTTTGGCGATTGCTCTGATTTCAGATAATCTCAGAGGTGACCATTCTCGTTGGTACATAAAATCCCAAAGGCTTTGATCTAGTAATTCAAATATAAAGCAGAAATTGCCTTGATGGGTGAACTATTCGAAGCACTCCAAAACACTGATCTGGTTAGGATCAAACTTTCTGAGATTTACATACCCTTCTGTCTCTATATTAGCTGAATGGTCCTTTTCTTTGGATACAATTTTCAAAGCAACAGCTTTGTCAGAGTCATTTTTCCTACATCTAGCTATCAAGCCATATGTCCCTTCTCCAAGTACCTTTTCTACATGATAAACATCTGATAAATTACAGATAGTGTCTCCCACTGCCATTTTAGGCTTCTGATTAGTTGGTTTAGTGTTTGATTCATTGAGAATCAGAGAGGAAGCAAGATTTGTGATGTCCCCTGATAAATCTGTGGTTGTGGGTTGACACTTAAACAAAGAGGCCATTTCGCTGTTTGCTGAGAAAATGTTGCAGGGTCTATTAAAATACTCAAGCAGGCTGGCTCTCACAACCATGGAGTGAGCGGGCCCACCACGCTACCTTCCAAGCCCTGTAGATTTTCTGCTGCGCGGCTTGAAAAAATCTACAAGACTCAGGCCACCGCCGCTCGCGGCCTGAGCTCCATCAGCATGCTCCAGACTTACCAGGCTATGGCTCTGGCAGAGCTCGGAGCCCAGGTACTGGCCGAGAGTCCTCTGCTGTCTCTCTTAAATGAGATCAGACTCACCGCAGACTACATCCTCTATGCGTCCCGCGGCGTAGCGCTCTCCCTGGGTAGAGGGATGGCTTCAACTGTGGTGGTGCAGAGACATTTGTGGTTGACACTCTGATGTCCCCGACAGAGACCGGGCCACATACCTGGATGAACCAGTTTTGGCGGCTGGGTTATTCGGTCAGTCTCTCGACGTTATTCAGGCGAAGTTTGAGCTGAGGAAGAAGCAGGCAGAAGCTCTGCGCTGCATTATCCCCAGACGGGACTCGAGACACAAGACCAGCACACAGAAGCCGGCCGCACAGCCGCCTCCGGCGAAGAGAACAGTGCTGCCTGGGAGCCTATGCACCCAGCCACCGCAGCCTCATAACCACGGCTGCCGGTCGGCGTGGAGCAAGGGCCCCCCTCCGGGTCTTCAGAAAGGTGCGACGCCTTGGAGGAAGAGGACAGAAGACACAGTCCTCCTAACTGTGGGACTGTCACTGCAGGGACTTCGGGACCAGGGAGACATGTTCGCCAGTTTTCGGCTGCCGCTCAAGAGGCATTTTGTTTGTACTGTTCAGGAAACCAGCCCCAAGAGGCGCTGCGTTTCTATAACACAGTCTCCCAGGCACCACTCCCACCCCACACACACACTGTACCAAAAGGCCCCAGTTTGGGTGCGCTAAATGTTAAAAATGTAAATGTACAAAATGGTTGTGTAAACTTGTTGAATGTGTCAATAAAGGAAACACCACACACAAAAAATCTAAAAAATCAAAAATGTTGTGAGCGAGTCATATAATGCTGCGCCTCTCTCATGCGACAGAGGGCAGCAGGACTTCACTAACACAAGTCGGTCGCCTGGCGACGCGACTCTCTCTCTGGTGCGCATGCACACCATCCCCTTGGGTAGAGAGAACTGTCGCAATGGGTTACCGACTACAGTTCTGCATACGGCCACCCCGTTTCAACACCGTGTTAAACACTGTTGTTGGAAACAAAGCAGCCGTGGTTTTGAGAGAGGAAATAAACACGYTACTGGCGAAAGGAGCCATACATGTGGTCCCCTCTCCGGACATAAACAAAGGTTGGTACAGCCGTTATTTTGTCGTTCTGAAAAAAGACGGCGGCCTCCGTCCGATTTTAGACCTGAGAGTGTTAAGCAAGTTTCTACGAACATACAGGTTCAAAATGCTAACACTCAGGCAGCTTCTGCATTCGGTCAGCCCAGGCGACTGGTTTGCGACCGTCGATTTAACAGATGCTTACTTTCATGTAGCGATTCACCCGGACCACAGGAAATTTCTGGGGTTTGCGTTCTAAGGTGTAGCCTAAGAATACCTGGTGCTGCCATTCGGTCTGTTGCTGGCACCCCGCACCTTTTCAAAATGTGTCAAAGCGGCGCTGTCTCCTCTCAGGGAGAAAGGAGTTCGCCTGTTAGCGTACCTAGATGACTGGGCTCTGATAGCCAGCTCCAAGGAGCAGGCTACAGAGCATCTGTCTCAGGTTCTGTCGCACATTCAGGCTCTGGGTTTTTCTGTAAATTTTCAGAAAAGCTTATTGACTCCGAGTCAGCAGTTTTCTTTCCTCGGGTTAGAAATATGCTCCCTGTCGGGCAGAGCGCGTCTCTCAGAAAACAGAGTAGCCGCGTTTCACCGCTGCCTCGCTCAGTTTCAACTGGGACGCAAACTGCGTTTTCAGACCATTCTGCAACTGTTAGGCATGATGGCTTCTATGATCGCAGTAGTACCACTTGGGCTGCTAAAAATGCGCCAGTTTCAGCATTGGTCCCGCTCTCACTGGCTGTGTGCATTACGTCACCGCCACAGAAAGCTAACGATAACTGCCTCATGCATGAAGGCTCTCAGTCCTTGGAGGGAACCCGGCCTGCTATGCTGAGGCTCACCGATAGGGACAGTGTCCTTTCGCAAAGTGGTATCCACAGACGCCTCCCTGGTGGGGTGGGGGGCTCTGTGCGATGGTGCGGCAGTGAGAGGGGTTTGGACTCTGAAGCAGTCCAGACTCCACATAAACTGCCTGGAATTGTTAGCGGTTCTGTTAGCACTGAAACAATTTTGTCCAGTTCTGCAGAACCAACATGTTCTGATCAGAACAGACAACACGACTGTAGTGTCATAAATAAACAGACAGGGGGGAACATGGCCTCTTCCCCTGTTGGAACTGTCTCACACTGTCTTGCAGTGGTGCAGCGTGCATTTCCTGTCTATCAGGACCACTCACGTTCCTGGGAGACTGAATCTGGGCCCAGATCTACTCTCCAGGGGCGGACCTATGGTGAGGGAGTGGAGGCTGCATCCCTCAGTGGTGGACCAGATTTGGACCATGTTTGGCAGGGCAGCAGTGGATCTCYTTGCCACAGGGSCCAATACCCACTGCTCTCTGTTCTTTTCCATAACGGATCAGAACGCCCCACTGGGGGGTGGACGCTCTAGCCCACCCGTGGCCCAATGTACTGCTGTATGCATTTTCCCCAGTACAAATGATACTGCCTGTACTAGAGAGGGTGCGCAGACAGGGTCTGTCTCTGATTCTGGTGGCACCCCACTGGTCAGCGAAGTCTTGGTACGCCGARATAATCAGCCTGCTGGCTGCTCAGCCCTGGCAACTTCCTCTTCGCCAAGATTTCCTCTCTCAGGTAGGGGGGAGATATTTCAACCCACACCCAGAGTTGTGGAGGCTGCACGCCTACCTGCTGAAAGGTCCTGCTTACTAGCCAGGGGCCTTCCCCCGGCAGTGGTGGCAACTATCCAGAACGCGAGAGCGCCCTCCACTAGAGGTTTATATACCTACAAGTGGCACGCTTTCGAGCAGTGGTGTGAGGTTAGACACATTGTCCTGTTTCAGTGCTCTATGGTGGATGTTTTAACATATCTTCAGGAGCTGCTGGATAAAGATTTGGCTTTTTCCACAATTAAAGTCTACTTGGCAGCTATCTCTGCTTGCCATGTGGGTTTTGATGGAGTTACACCAGGTGCTCATCCTCTAGCAGTGCGTTTTCTGAAGGGGGTCCGTAGGCTGCGGCCTGTTATTAAACCCAGTATCCCTACCTGGGATCTTACTGTGGTGCTCGAGGCTCTCTGTGACCCCCCTTTTGAGCCCTTGGAGTCTGTGGATTTGAAGTTYCTTTCATATAAAGTTGTGTTGCTTTTRGCACTAACAACTGTTAAACGGGTCGGGGATCTCCACGCTCTGTCTGTGAATCCCTCCTGTATTCAGTTTTCATCTGATGGCTCCAAGGTGGTTCTGCATCCAAACTCAGCGTATCTCCCTAAGGTGATACCTTCTAACTACAGCTCCACGTCTATTGAGCTTTCTAGTTTTTATCCTTCCCCTTTTGCATCTGAGGAAAAGAGGAGGTTACATTCTTTGTGTCCTCTACATGCACTGCATATTTACATTGATCGCACACAGGAGGTGAGGTCATRTGATCARCTGTTTGTGTGTGTTGCTAACCCACTCAGGGGCAGGGCTCTGTCCAGACAGAGACTCACACTGGATTGTAGAGGCTATCTCTTTAGCTTACAGCAGCAGGGGTCTCCCAGTCCCATYTGGTGTGAGAGCTCACTCCACTAGGGGTGTAGCAGCATCCTGGGCACTTTTTAAAGGGGTACCTGWGAGTGACATCTGTGCTGCGGCCAGCTRGTCTTCACCGCACACGTTTGTTCAATTTTATCGCTTAGATGTGACAGCCCCYKCGGTGGCTCACTCTGTGCTCTCCGCTGGGTCTGAAGTGCTGCACTAGCATGTTATTATGACCCAAGTTTGGTGCTGCTCTGCGGGGCGTTTATATATGTCCCATACATGATGTTGTACCGAGTGAATTGACTGAAAGGGAACGTAATGTTATGCATATAACTTCTGTTCCCTGAAGGAAAGGAACGAGGTACAACACATGGTGGCCCCGCTACACAGCTGGGCTCGGTGAAGAGCAGTTACTGAACTAAGGAGTGATTGTGATGGCAACAGTATATATATGTGCAGGCGGAGCCTGACATCTGTCGTCATCACGTCACCTGCCTAAAGGCGTGAATAGAGGTGGCTTCAGCCAGGACACGCAGGAGCGTGGTTCCCATACATGATGTGTTGTACCTCGTTCCTTTCCTTCAGGCAACAGTAGTTATATGCATAACATTGCGTTTTCTCTCTCTTTGGTGTATGTGGGACTTTTATCGGTCAGCCTGGATAAACATGGAGTGTTGGAACTGATATCGACAAAAGAAAGTTCAAAGTGGTTCCGAACGTAATATGGCTGTTTTTTACTCACATTTGTCTTCCTCCGCCACGAAATAATCCCTCTCTCTCTCTCTCTGGACCGGTAYATGCTAATAAAGAGGCGCTGTACTGTTTTGGCCCATTTCCGGGTTCTGTGGGGGGAACTCCGCCAGAATGACGTCACAGCGTGCGGCCATCGGAGGTGGATCCGAGCTGAAGGAGCTCCGCAGCTCGGCCGAAGCGTGAGGCAAAATGAAACATGGATGAAGAGGTCGCCGAAAGTTGGGAGGAAGCTGCTGATAGCGGGGTGAGCAGTGAAAGTGACAACATATGTTTACTTTAAAGGAATTTGTTCCGAGGTGCTCGCCGATAACGACCGGGATTCCCTGTAAAAGTTCTCCCAACACATTGTTGGCTCTGTCGGGCCAACAATGTGGCTAATGCTAACTCCAGTTTCAAGAAACTTTCCGAGTCAAGTAGCGTTAGTTGTCAAGTTAGTCATGGCTAACACAAACTCGATTGGCCCGGTGACGTTAAGTATTTTAAAGTTTTTGTTTATAAAACGCTGATATGACCATTTTTTGTGACCAAACGTGGCTCTTGGAGGCTAGCCACGGAGCTCAGAAGTGCTAGGGTTTAATGCTAGCCTAGCTAACGTCATGCTACGATACGCCGGGTTCACGCTAATGTGTCAATTAAGTGAAAAGTTGACTTATTTGGCACAAAAAGACACACCTCTCAATACATTTGACGTCCATTTTACCACACAATCCGTGAATAGGGTTTTGTCGATAATAATCGTTTGTGTTTTTTATGAGGTTTTTATCTYGACATCTTGCTTAATTGTCTCGATTTTCCATGGCTAGGCCAGATTATTGGGCAATATTTTTGACCATGTTGTCGATACGTAGTCGTGTTTCGAGCTTGTGTTGTTGCCAAACTGGTGCCTTGCTTCAGTCAGAAACTTTACGGTGTTTTGGCCGACACTATCTCAAGTTTTTGACGTCTGGAGGTGAAGGGTGAAGCAACTCCTCGGACTGAACAGATTTTTTTTTTTGTGATCCTGTCGTCATGATTTTCACATATTTTGCTGGCAACCCTTAGCAGTCTTTTATTTACTTACTTACTTACTTATTTACTTACTTACTTACTTTGATTGTATCACTGTCCTGTCACGTTTCATAGTGACTTCCCCATTCACTCTAACATCTCACATTCTGCACAAATCTGAGGATGAAGTTCAATATTTCCGCTTATAATCTTCAACACAGACTTAACTTTCTTAGACGAACCTTCCCACAGTCCACAGTTTCTTTAGGTGGTCTTCAGAAAGTGTCTCGGGCTTCTTGAAAACGTTTTTTGAAGCTCAACTTTAAATACTGGCTGCATTTTCTTCCATTATCTGTGGCAGTAAATATAAACATTACCTCAATGATGCAAGGCCTCAGCTGAAACTAACAGAGCAACAAGTTGTAGACTTAAAGTTAAGAGATAGGTCATTTAAATTAGTTAACCAATTTGAATGAACTGAAATGGGCTCATGAAAATAGGAAAACGCTGCAGCAGCTCTCACGACAAGCAGCCCACAGCTGATTTTTATTTACGTGAGAACGCTGTTTTATGTTTAAGTAAACACATCCATCTAAGAGTTGTTAAATATTTGTTTACTTAGGTTAAGCAGTTATTGTTAAAAGTAACATGCACACTAGCTCAAAAATAATTAAAAATTACGTAGAATATTGGCTGCCCTGATTTGTAATTATCAGCACCAACCATACAATATTGTATATCAGTCCATCTATATTATAGGTAAACTTCAACTGCATTAGTGACATGTTCAGGATTATTGTCACACTAAAAATCAACCTGGTACAGGTCACATATTTTAAGAAAAATTCTGCAGAGTGGATCAAAACTCTAACACTACCCTCCGTTTTCACAGGATTGTTTAACACATGATGGAAATGAACTCTCAAATCATGTGAGGTTCCATTAAGAGTTAGAAAAAGTCACAGTTGTACCYCTCTCACGACCTGAAAAATTATTAAGGAGACGAAAAGACTAAAAATATCACTCTAAAAATGATTATACTTAAGGACTTGATTTGATTAAAACACTTAAACACAACGTCTGCACACGTTTCTTATAGCMACATCTAAATAAACGAAAGGTGACTTTTGCACAGGATTGTACATCCAGTGTTGGCTAAYGTACAATTTCTTATGACGTGGCAGCTGTCCTCAAAAGTATAAATAGCTTGTAACTGAATCCTGCTTTCCATCCACTCTCCAACTTGCCACCTACTGCACTGTTTCCTGTCCCAAATCAGTCCGATGTTTGTTGTCATAAATTTTTGTTTGCTCTACTTTTCCTCTCAGGAAATGGAAAAACGGTTAGAAGAGAAGCTTCGGATCAGCCGGAAAGAAAAGTAAGGACCTGAATAGCTCAACGATGTGATGTTTCTGCTATTTCTTGGCTACGTTTTGTTTTCTTATTGGCTGTGGCTCCTTGCTGACAACAAAATATCCTCCCATCCAGTGGTTGGGATGTGTATGTTAACTAACATAAACCACGACCTGAAAGTTTTCACACATCAAACTCAAATTTGTCCCCGACCTGAACGTTTCATTGCCATATGTGATTTTATATCTGTGTAGTGTGAAGATGTAGTCTGTACTGTAACAGCTTGTTCATGTATTTCCTTTCAGAGAATCCAGTAATTCCTCACGATCGCCATTAAAAGCAACCATGGTAATACAGGACAACTCCTTACCAGCAGCTCCCCCACCTCAGATCCGAATATTGAAGCGGCCAACGAGCAACGGGTCCCTGGGATCCCCCATGAACCAGAACAGGCCGTCGCCGCAGGTCAAATCTCTGGCCCAGCGGGAAGCAGAGTACGCAGAGGCCCGGAAGCGAATACTGGGCAGCGCCTGCCCAGAGGAAGCTCCTCAGGACAAACCCAACACAGACAGGTAAAATTCACCTGCTGGTCTTCAGGGCTTTAATCAGAAGCTGATCCTAACTGCACTGGGGCCAAACACATCGGCTCATCCTCAGGTGTGACTCAATATTTCTGTACTGTTGACAGGGCGGGGCCCCTTTTTTTTTTTTAAACAGCCAGCGTATTTAAAAGGTTAAATAATGTTTCTTTTCTTTTTTTTGTTCATCTGTCTTTAGTTTCATTATAGAGCAGAGGCAGGCAGGGTTAGTTTTCCTCTCCCTCCCCTAGAGGGCCATATATTACTGAGTTAAAACGTTGATTTGCAACATGAGCATAAAACCTTTTTAGGTTTTAAATATTATCTTTTGGACCTTCGTTCTCAGAGAATGACTTTCTTTTTTGTGATAGCTATAGTTAAGTTGCTTGTTTATTTGTGGAGGTTTTATGTAAAACTATTCTTACATTTTTAGCTGTAGTCAACATGGTTGGTTAAAAAATAATCAAGATTTTAGATTTTTTTTTTTTTTCAAATAGTCAGTACCCTTTTGGCATATTAAACAAAACTATCAGTAAATATTTAAATGTAAGCCCCATAATTAAAGGCACAGTGTGTAGGATTTTGTCAATTCTTTTAGCCAAAATTGAGATAATCACTAATGACAATAATAAAAAACATGTCTAATCATTGCAGACAAAGACCTTGTTTTATTATTTTTACCTTATAAAAAGCTGTTTATATCTCCATGGTCGTGGGTCCCCGCTACATGCAGCCGCCATCTTACACCGCCATCTTGTCTACGAAGGCTCATGAGAGAAAATATAC